TATTCGTTGGTAATTTTGTTCCGCTTTATCAGGCTTTCTAAGTGACGACTGAAGGAGTTTTGGGTCAATTGATCCGAACCCAATTGCGCTTAGGTCGTTACATATGTAAATACTCCTCAGGCTTAATTACTCAGTCAGCTTAGGCTTAGTAAGAGAGAACCAATATGTAAATACTCCTCAGGCTTAATTATTTAGTCAGCTTAGGCTTAGTAAGATAGAACCACTTTAGAGCTCAAGAGAATTTGTGCGCTGGCAGCTCATGAGATTTGTGCGCTGCAGGGGGTGATTTGAAAAAATGCTCCTCTCTCCGCCAGTTCCAAGAAGATCTCGTGACCAAATCTCATTCTCGTGACCAAATTCATTTTTCTTTCCCCAAATCTCTCTCTCCAGCTCCTCTCTCCCAGATCTCAAATCCTGATCTCCGACGCTGAGTTCTCTGCCGGCGTTGCCTCTCTCACCGACGCTGAGTTCGCTCTCGCCGCGAACGGCTTGACCGATGAGCTCCTGCTCTTCCCAGCGCGTGATCACTCCGCCTGCGCCTGCAGCCCTGCGCCCTGCAGCCGTCGTGACCTCCGCTGAGCTCCTCTCTCCGCCAGTTGTAGCCGACACGATCCCACGACCCTCTCGTAAGTCTATTTAAACCCTCCGCCCTCTCGTAAATTTGTTTGCTTGGTCTTTAATAAAAAGATCGTAGGTTTCTATTTGTTCAATTGCTTGGTCTTCAATTAGTTTGCTTGTTCATATAGAAAGTCTTATATCTTTTGGGTTTACATACTGGGGATGCTAGATGTGTCTTTCTTGTTGTTGTTTTAATGTAGATTAGAGCAACTTTGCCTATGACGTGTTGAAGGTTTCAAACACAATAGTAAAGTTTATGAGATTTGATGGAATTAATACTTTTAAGTATAAAATAAGTCTTGGTTAAAGGAGGAAGAGACTATTGACAACCAGGGACACTATAGCTTGTGTATTTAAGCGGTTTGTTGTTTTCAACTTTCGTTATGTATTTAACTATTGTTATTCACCGTATCCCAGTTTTATATTCAAAACTGTCTGATCTTATGTTACTCTGGGTCTATGTTTATCAAATGATTTACTGGCAATAGAAGATAGTGATCTTGCTGACATGGTTGCAATCCAGAATGTCATTTATGAGCTCAAGATCACAGTAAGCCTTATGGTTAGAGGTCAATCAATTTATGTATATAAAATTTTCTTCGTTAGCTAAGCTTACTGCTATTAATTTCTAACCACAGCAAAAATACTAAGTTTGTTTTTCTTGAATTTATTTTCTTCTTTAGGAGTTTGGAATGGAGGAAACAAATTCAAATAGTGTAGAGTTCGGAATGGGAGAATCAAGTGTTATTGGAAGTGAAACTGCGGCCAATTCTGTAAATGCTCCTAAACCACTACCGGGAATAAAGTTTAATAGTCATGAAGAAGCTTATAACTATTATAACTCTTATGCATTGTTGATGGGTTTTGGAATAAGGAAGAGCACTATGAATTACTCTCGCAAGACTAGAGAAGTGGTAGACAGAAAGTTTGTTTGTGATAAGGAGGGCTATAAACCTAATAGTGGCAAGATAGAGATCCCTCTTCGGCGAGAGACCCGAGTGGGATGTAAGGCAATGATGCGAGTTAAATTATTGGAGGAAAAATCGTGGGAGGTCATGGGGTTTGTTGAAGAACATACAAATCATGTGTTGAGTAGTCCAGACAAAGCAAAAATGCACAGATCACATCAACAATTCTATAAAACTCAAAGATGTAAAAAACTTATTGATAGTCTGCGAGAAGAAGGTTTGCCTCCTTCCACTATTTCTCGCGTTATCAATGCAACCAATGGAAGAGACGGTGAATTTGTGACATCACAACAGTGCATTGATCATATCAGAACCCAAAGAGTCAACAATATTGGTCATGAATGCATATCTATCATTCGACATTTTCAGAGTATGACAGCGAATGATCCAGAATTTTATTTTGCAATAGAAGTAGACAGTAGTGGACAAAGGAGGAGTGTATTCTGGGCCGACGGAAGATCAAGAGCATCTTATTTGCAATTCAGTGATGTTATTGTGTTTGATGTGACATACAGAACTAATAAGTTCGGTCTTCCATTTGCTCCATTTACTGGTGTAAATCACCATAGGCAGTCCACTTTACTTGGTTGTGCATTATTAGCCGATGAACAGGAAGATACCTTTGTTTGGTTATTTGAAGAATGGCTGAAATGCATGCACGGCATTGAACCAGGTGCTATTATAACAGATCAGGATAGAGCAATGTGTAATGCTATTCACTCAGTGTTTCCAACGACAAGACATCGTTATTGCTATTGGCACATGCAAAAGCATATTATTGATCATTTGCCTACTTTGGTATCTCGTTATGGTGAACAGTTTCAAAGGTATTGGGGCTTGTGGTGCAATAGTTCTTCAATTGAACAATGTGAAGGATATTGGGTTGAGATGAAAGAGAAGTTTGATATAAATGAAGAAGGGGAGGGATGGTTGCAAACAGTTTACAAATGCAGAGAACACTGGGTGCCGTGTTATCTGAAGGACACTTTTTTTGCTGGAATGAGATCAAGCCAAAGGAGTGAAAGTATTAATGCATTTTTTGATGGGTATGTTAACTCACAGACTCAGTTACACGAGTTTGTGACACAATATGAAAAAGCAGTAACTCATCGCTTAAGTGAAGCCCATGAAGATTTTAAAAGTCTGAACACAAAGCCGGTCATGCTCCTTGGACATCCAATTGAGGTCCAAGCTGGAGAAATGTATACACTCTGAACACAAAGCCGGTCATGCTCCTTGGACATCCAATTGAGGTCCAAGCTGGAGAAATGTATACACGCAATATGTTTGATGTCTTGGACATCCAATTGAGGTCCAAGCTGGAGAAATGTATACACGCAATATGTTTGATGTGTTCCATACTAAATTCAAAGGATTTGGTACAGATTTCTGTGAAGAATTGAGAAAAGATGGGGATATTGTTGAATACAAGGTCTGTAAGTTTACAGATAGAGGAAAATGGGAGGTGGTTACTTATGAACAGTCCAGTCAGATGCAATTCCGTTGCACTTGTGCTTTGTTTGAAACTAATGGTGTGCTATGTAGACATATATTATCGCTAATGATGGCTAGGCAGATGGATTCATTACCCGACCACTACATCCTACACCGTTGGACCATACATGCAAGGCATCGTAACATTGGGGTTGGCAACATCGTATTTGGAAGAAACATCACCAGCTGTGAAGGGAAGATTAATTTATTGAAATCTTGGGCTTTAAGAGCAAAATTCAATAATGTGCTCGAGCTTGCATTTGATTCAGAAGAGAAGCTGCAACAACTTGATGATGTACATTCATTGAAACACTGTACTGCGGATCATGACTTACTTTAGACTAAGTAAAAAAATTAGCACAAATCCAATAGAAATACCAATAGAAACACTGTACTGCTAATTCATGTACATTAGTCTGTTCTTTCCTCATTGGAAACTTAACTATGCAATACATGGAGAACATACACTTCAACAAATCCAATAATACATTCTTACACTCTACTTAGCACAAATCCAATAGAAATACCAACTACAAATCCTAGAAAAATACCAAATAAAAGAACAAATATACCAAGCTTCAACAAATCCAACATATCAATCTCAATCTTTCTCTTTTCCCGCACTTCTCCACTTGACACGGCTCTTGAAACTTGCGGCGTCACGCTCGACTGCTCTGCCTTTGAACCTTGAAACTCCTCTTCATCAGATACCTATTTGAAGAATCCACAATTACTCACTTTCCAATTAGCGCATCCCAGAAACAATCGACCGGGGTTCGTCTTAGTTCCAGATCTGGAGAGTATAGCCCTCCTTCCACAATGGCACAACAGTCCATGACGATTGCTTGAAGATGACTCCATGATCCACGGCTACAGATATAAAAGTTTGCATATTCATAGCAATTGAAAAATAATAATTGGAAAAATAATAAAAACACACTCATATACAAAAGCAAGCTTAGGCAAGCTTAGGGCACTTTGCAAGAACAATTACACCAGATATTGTTGTGATCACAGTCTAGTAGCAGTGGTTTTCTTTTAACATCCTCATCAGCTTATGCCACCTTTCAAGTTTTTCAATTATTGGTTTGATCATCATATGTTTCTTTCAGTGACACATCAAGGATGTTCCTCACCCATTACCGGCTCTCCCTTGTTTCAAGTCTTTCAAATGCTGAAAAATGTCAAGAGTTCCCTAAGGCTTTTAATCATCATAATTTTGGTGGGATTCACACTAGAGTTCAAGCTGACAAAAAAATTTATTTGATACTCAATCCTTGCTCCAGCAACCCCCCACTGATAACTTCCTAAAGCTTTAGGAAAGTAAAGATCTCCAAAGTCTTGTGACTCTGCTCAAGAATGAAGCTATATTCACTCATCAAAAATCTAGAATCAACTAGATTAAAAACTACAATTTGAATTCTACTTTCTTTCATGCATCAGCAAAATAGCGAAGAGCTTGTAACTTTATTCATGCACTTTATACAATTGAAGGTGAGTTTCTTACATCACAATCTACTATGGGAACGGAACTCTTATTTTTTTTAAAAAATACCGAGAGATCAACTTACAGTCATACGCCAATTATAAATGCTAACTCCAAATCTCACAGCAAGCCCCATTCCAAATATAAACAGTTGTATTAACCCAAAACAGTGACTTTCACTGACCTTAGGAATCGCTGAAGAGAATTGAGGAAAGGGGGCGGAGAGAGGTCGGTGCTCGCGCCGGAGGATTTAGGCTCGCGCCGGAGGGAGGGAGTCGGACAGAGGTCGGGATCGTGTTGCAGTACTTTGGGGCTCGATTCGTGGGAAGGGGGGAGTCTGTGGGACGATCTCACGACGGTCGAAGGAGGGCGCACGCCCGACGGCGGTTTCACGGCGGTTTCGTGGTCGAAGGAGAGGGCGTGACGGAGGATTTGGGGATGGGGTTTCGAATCGTGGTTGGGGTTAATAGCGGATGGGATTTTGTCGATCGTGGTTTGGGGCTCGATTTTGTCGATCGTGGTTTGGGGCTCGAAGGAGAGGGATTGAAGGGGGGAGAGGGGTAGCTCACGAGATGAGAGGAACTCAGCGTCGGAGAGAGGAACTGGCGAGAGGAACTCAGCGTCGGAGAGAGGAACTGAGGAGAGGAACTCAGCGTCGGAGATCAGGGATTTGAGATCTGGGAGAGAGGAGCTCACGAGAGAGATTTGGGGAAAGAAAAATCTATTTGGTCACGAGAATCTATTTGGTCACGAGATCTGATTTGAGATAACGGAGCATTTTTTCAATTAAGCCCCTGCAGCGCACAAATCTCATGAGCTGCCAGCGCACCCACAGTATTCTCATATATATATATTTGTGATTTCTCCTTAGGTTTTTAGGTGAGCAGGTAGGGGGAAATTCGTGGCTGCGGCAGAAAAAGCAAAGGAGCAGTGCGTGGAGATTTTGGCGGCTGCAAGTGAACAGCGGCTGCAGGAGAGAGAAAGTGCAGGAATTTTCGGCTGTAGATATTTTTCAGCAGATGAAGATTTCCTTTGTGTAGTCTCTTCTTTTGGTTTTGTGATCTCTTTGAGAGGTATTTTGTGAGAGATTTGAGAGAGTTTGTTTGAGGGTTTAGATTGTGAGTGATTGTAAACCCTAGTTGTATTCTCTCCCTCTATTAGTAGATCTCCCCCCTCCTTGTCCCGTGGACGTAGGCAATTTGCCGAACCACGTAAAACGAGACGCACAGAGCATTAATCCATTAGCTAGAAGAAGAAAAGAAAAAAAAAGAAAAAATGTTTGGCCAGCTACAAATAAATGAACGATTTAATTTTAAAAAATAGTCAAAAGTTGTCCCCATTTTTCCACTTTCACGAGACATTTTTAAAACTTTAGAAGAGGCTTTCGAAGGACTACTATTAAGTGCGCAGTCTTTTTGTATTTTAATTTCGAACAAATTTTTAAAATAGACCATTTTTAAAACTTAATTAACAAAATAGGCTGAAAAAATATTTAATTACCAAAAATCGTTGTAAGCTGGGATGAAAGTTATAAATCGTGGTTATAAATGAGGATACAATCATGTTTTTATAAATCATTGTTAATTATATTTGATAATAGTTATACCTAATGATATGTTATTTCTAGATGCTATCGTGTTAGTTCTAGTAGCCTTCGAGTTAGTTTTAGCTTCTATTACCCTAATTCTAGCTTGTATACAGCTAGTTCTAGCCCACACCTTACTAGTTCTAAACTCAGCCCGCGTTTTTACCTTCACACTTGTTAATTCATGCTTCTACGTTAGTTCTAGCTTCTATTAGCCTAGCTCTAGCTTGTATACAGCCAGTTCTAGCCCACACCTTGCTAGTTCTAAACCCAACAAGGGTTTTTTACATGCACACTTGTTAATTCTAGCTTCTAGCTTAGTTCTAGCTTCATTACCCTAGTTCTAGTTTGTATACAGTCAGTTCTAGTCCACACCTTGCTAGTTCTAAACCCAGCCTTCGTATTTTACCTTCACACTTGTTAATTATTACTTCTACGTTAGTTCTAACTGCTATTACCCTAGTTCTAGCTTGTATACAGCCAGTTCTAGCCCACACCTTGCTAGTTCTAAACCCAGCCCGTGTTTTTTACATGCACACTTATTAATTCTAGCTTCTAGCTTAGTTCTAGCTTCTATTACCCTAGTTCTAGAACTAGCAAGGTGTGGGCTAGAACTGGCTGTATACAAGCTAGAACTAGGGTAATAGAAGCTAGAACTAACGTAGAAGCAAGAATTAACAAGTGTGAAGGTAAAATACGAAGGCTAGGTTTAGAACTAGCAAGGTGTGGGCTAGAACTGGTTGTATACAAGCTAGAATTAGGATAATAGAAGCTAGAACTAACGTAGAAGTAAGAATTAACAAGTGTGAACGTAAAATACAAAGGCTGGGTTTAGAACTAACAAGGTGTGGGCTAGAATTGGCTGTATACAAGCTAGAACTAGGATAATAGAAGCTAGAACTAAGCTAGAAGCTAGAATTAACAAGTGTGCATGTAAAAAACCCTTGTTGGGTTTAGAACTAGCAAGGTGTGGGTTAGAACTGGCTGTATACAAGCTAGAACTAGGGTAATTGAATCTAGAACTAACGTAAAAGTATGAGTTAACAAGTGTGCATGTAAAAAACACGGGCTGAGTTTAGAACTAGTAAGGTGTGGGCTAGAACTGGCTGTATACAAGCTAGAACTAGGGTAATAGAAGCTAGAACTAACGTAGAAGCAAGAATTAATAAGTGTGAAGGTAAAATACGAAGGTTGGGTTTAGAACTAGCAATGTGTGGGCTAGAACTGGCTGTATACAAGCTAGAAGTAGGGTAATAGAAGCTAGAACTAAGGTAGAAGCTAGAATTAACAAGTGTGCATATAAAAAACACGGGCTGGGTTTAGAACTTGCAATATGTGGGCTAGAACTGGCTGTATACAAGTTAGAACTCGGGTAATAGAAGCTAGAACTAATGTAGAAGCAAAAATTAACAAGTGTGAAGGTAAAATACGAAGGCTGGATTTAGAACTAGCAAGGTGTGAGCTAGAACTGGCTGTACATAAGCTAGAACTAGGGTAATAGAAGCTAGAACTAACGTAGAAGCATGAATTAACAAGTGTGAAGGTAAAAAACACGGGCTGAGTTTAGAACTAGTAAGGTGTGGGCTAGAACTGGCTGTATACAAGCTAGAACTAAGGTAATAGAAGCTAGAACTAATATAGAAGAAAGAA